CTACAAACTAACCCTTATTTTCTTGACTACAAACTTACCCTCTTTACTACAAGCTTACCCTCTTGACTACAAACTAACCCTTATTTACTGCCGCCTGCCACTATGTTGACTGCCGCCTGCCACTATGTTGACTGCCGCCTGCCACTATGTTGACTGCCGCCTGCCACTATGTTGACTGCCGCCTGCTACTATGTTGACTGCTGCCTGCCACCATAATGTCCGCCATATCCCATTATTTTCACACTCGACTGCCATTATGTTGACTGCCGCCTGCCACTATGTTGACTGCCGCCTGCCACCATAATGCCCACGATATCCCATTATTTTCACACTCGACTGCCATTATTTCGTCGCAAAATTTACTCTTCTAATGGAAAACCATTGAAAAGCTTCTCTTAATTATTGCACCCACACAGCCGCCCACATCCTGCAGCCCGCATGAGGGGCGACCCTCTCGCGACCCTCCCACGACCCTCCCGCGACCCTCACCCAACCCTCCCGCGACCCTCCCACGACCTTCAGACGACACGTCGGGGGGGTGGGGCAGGGGTGTGGAGACAATTGATGTAGTGGGCACCCGCGCCCACTACATGGGGGGGGGCACAGGAGGGGTGGGGGGGCAAGAGGGGAGCTCGGGGTGAGCAAACAAGAGGGTTACCCTCGTTTGTCGCCTACCCGGAAAAGGGCAATAAAAGGACAATAGGGAAGGGGTGAGAGGAGGGGAGGAGTGGGTGGGATGGAGGGAAGGAGGGGGTAGGATAAGGGATAACAATGTTATTGACGAGACGTATTGTTCGCTAATTTCTTACTCATGAAACTAAATTTTCATCATTTTGCTAGTCATTAAGTTTAACTTTCAACCTAAAAACCTAAGTTTTCCAATACCTATAGGGCATCTTATAGAATCCTTCCATCCCAACAACTCACTGTTGGGATCTTACCATCCTAAGGTAAGGTAAGAAATTGAAAGTGAACTATGGTAAGGTAAGTAAAGTGACTGATATAAGATATAAACACTAGTTCCTTAACTATATAATAAGGTACGTAAAGTGACTGATATAAGATATAAACGCTAGTTCCTGAACTATATAATGAGGTAAGTAAAGTGACTGATATAAGATATAAACACTAGTTCCTGAACTATATAATAAGGTACGTAAAGTGACTGATATAAGATAAAAACACTAGTTCCTGAACTTAAATAAGGTTAGTACAGAGATGTCACTCTCGTGTCGAAACAAAACAACACTAGACGCCAATTTTTTCCTCATGGTTTTGCCATAGAATTTGTATTTGTAATTATAAAGAATTGAATGAAACGTAACTGAATGGTTTTAAATTAAAATAAAATATCAGGTCCCGAGAATATCCTGAAACTATCGGAACAAGTTAAGGGTTCGGAACTTTGTCGGCTTGGCACTGGCAGCTATTCCAGCTAAACCCACCAATTAGAGAAGAGGAATCGGCCGCTACGTGTACTTAGGCCGCTACGTGTACTTAGGCCGCTACAAGTACTTAGGCCGCTATGTGTGTTTAGGCCGCTACATGTACTACGGCCGCTACGTGTACTTAGGCCGCTACGTGTTTTGATAGTACGGACTATACGGCCCTTGTATATGCGCTCTAATAGCCTCTATACACGACTAGAAAAACAATCAAATAAACAAATAAAAACAAGGAAAACAAGCACACCAACACCAACACACGAGCAGCAAAACACCAACACCAACACACGAGCACAAAACACCAACACCAACACACGAGCACCAAAACACCAACACCAACACACGAGCACAAAACACCAACACCAACACACGAGCAGCAAAACACCAACACACGAGCACAAAACACCAACACCAACACACGAGCACAAAACACAAACACCAACACACGAGCAGTAAAACACCAACACCAACACACGAGCAGTAAAACGCAAACACCAACACACGAGCAGCAAAACACAAACACACGAGCAGCAAAACGCAAACAACAACACACGAGTAGCAAACGCAAACAACAACACACGAGCAGTAAAACACAAACACCAACACACGAGCAGCAAAACACAATCACCAACACACGAGCAAGTATACAGTAAGATACAACATACACAACATACCATACATTCCCATTCGTGTGTGGCGTGACATGTTAAATACTCCTACATTATTTATGATCACTCAGAGAAAAAGATGAGTCATATTGTCCAAAAATAGCGACCCATTTTTACAACACTTCTCTTTAACTTCACTTCTTGTTTGTTTGTTTGTTTGTCTGCTACAAATCTTGTAATCGAAATTTAATACACTTCTACCTTTCCTATCGATCTGAAATTTTGCACACTTGCGTAAAGTTGGAGACAATGCATAAATCAAATGCCAAAATAAATGATTTTAAAAATTAAAAATTTTTTTTTTCAATATTAAAAAAATTGAAAAAGTAATTTTGTCAGCTACAAATCTTATAACTGATATTTGACACACTTATACCTGTCTAATTGATCTGAAATTTTGCACACTTGTGTGAAGTCAGAGGCAATGCATGAATCAATTAATAGAATAAATAATTAAAAAAAATTATATATTAAAAAAATCTATATATTAAAAAAATTGAAAAATTAAATTTTCTAATATTCAAACATTAAATGAGAAATTCATTGTACATCTGTAAGATTGGAGACACTGGATTCTTTGGAAGTGTTGTCTTTAAAAAGTAATTTTTAAACGTATATTATTTCTTACGAAAAGCACGAGTAGCAAACAGACGTAGCACTGATACGTCGATTGGTCGGGCCAAACTGGGTCAGAATGACTCACTTATGAGCAAAACGTGCATCACTATTAAGACAAACATTCTCTCATTACTCTGAGTGAATAGGGTAGCAAGTGAAGTAAAGATAAAGTTTTTCGATGATAAGAAATATTTTTAAAATAATATAAATAACCTGTACCTAATATAATAGTAAATAATAACATAATATAATTTTATGATTATATTTTGATAATAAATATATGATATAAATGATAATAAATTTAATAATATAATAAGAATTAAACACGATACCTGCGAGGCGCTGTCGTGGCCGTCGTCCTGCACCTGCGGAGTAAACAGCACGGTAAGTGATGTACGGGGCACGGTACAGGGCACCTTATGACCTTATGACCTTATGATGAGTTTAGGACGTCGCAGTCCACGGTCACGCTGATGCGCCGCCTTCGTCGTCCTCCGTCTCCGAGTC